GAATAGACGTAACAGGAAGGGAAGAGGAGCAGAATTATATGTAAAGGATGTGTACACTTGTGAAGAGATCCATGACCTGAGAACAGAAGGCAAATTGAAAGTATATGGGTAAAAACTGTAGGAGAAGAAGTGACCTTACTGTGGGTGCCTGCTATAGACCACCAAGCCAGACTGACGATTTGGATGATGCCTTCCTAGAGCTGATTACTGAACATTCAAAAAGGAGAAAAATGGTAGTCATGGAAGACTTCAGCTACCCCAGTGTCTGTTGGAACTCAAACTCTGCCAAGAATGCAACAGGGAGGAACTGATTGACAAAGTGGAAGTACTGGGAACTTTGGGAGGAAGTGATCAGGTCCTCTTGAGTTTTGTGATACAGAGGCAAGGGAAGGCTGGGTGTAGTCGGACATGCACTCTGGACTCTAAGAAAGCTGATTTCAAAAAGCTTAAGTAACTATTGGGTGAATTCCCATGGTCAGAAAAACTCAGATAGACAGGAGTCCAAGATGAATGGGAGTTTCTAAAAGGAGGAATACTGAAGGCACAAATACAAACAATTCCAACAAGAGAGAGAAGTGGGAGGCTTCTAAAGAACCTGGTGTGGCTGCATAAGGAGCTTACAGATGAGCTGAGATTTAAGGAGAACTTGTATAATAAATGGAAGAAAGGGGAAATCACAAAGGAAGAGTATACATGACTAGCCAACAGCTGCAGGGAGGTCAGGCAGGCCAAAGCGCAGAATGAGCTCAGGCTTGCAAGAAAGGTTAAATATAACTTTCAAAGGTTTATTTGGCTATGTTCAAAGCTAGAAGAAAAACAAGCAAGGAGTAGTCCTCTACATGGAGAAGATGGAGAAATGCTGTTGGGTGACAGAGAGAAGGTGGAATTGCGCAACACCTACTTTGTGACTGTCTTCCCCAAAAAGGAAAGCAGTGTCCAACCTGGTGATAACAGAATAAATGATGCAAGGAGGGAGTTGCATCCCAAGATAGTAAAAGATGTGGTAAGGGAACACCTAGCTACTTTAAATGAATTCAAATCTCCAGGACATGATGAGCTGTACCCAAGGGTACTAAAGGAGCTTGCAGATGTAATTTTCTGCCCCTAGGAGTTTGCTCCTAGGCACAGTGATGAATACTCTGTAGTTTTATGCCATCTGAAGAGGGCAAGGGAATGGGGCTTAATCGCTCAAAAGCATGCACAATTACACCACTGCTTTTTTAAAAAAAAAACTTTTTTGAAGATACTCAAATATGCTGAAAGGTACTTCGGGACTTATATCCACCACAGCAAATACCTGGTTTTTACTTTGAGAATGGGAAGATGACATATATTCACCGCCTTCCTGGCTACAATTTAATTCTCATGTTACTAGGACCACCAGTACATGGAAATTGCATCATTTTCTCTTAACAGAAAACTCAAGTAGCCACAGGACAAGGGGAGGCCTCAGCACACTTAAATGAGCCCCATGCTATGCAAAAGAGCAAAATCTCAGTGCCTCCCGCAACCCAGTGAAGACCAAGCCTGCTGAGCGGCTTCCATGAGTCCCAAAATACTGATTATCAGCTGGAAAACAAAAACAGAAAACAGTGGAAGAGGCGGAAGGAAGGAATTGATATGTTTGAGTTCCTTGCAGCTTATGGTATACTGAAAAGGCTGGCTCTCTGAACATTATTGTTGCAGGAGGCAGGTCCCATATACACACAAGACCTGCAACCATTCCATTTGTAGAGTTATTTCCTCCTCCACTTAGTAGGAGTGCCCCTGTCCAGAGTCCCTGCCAGCCAGCCAACTCCTCTTCCTCTAGGACTCTAAAAATTGTGAAGAAAAAGCAAGAGATAAAATTTCTCCTCTCCCCAACCCCCTCACTGGACTTTTCTGTTCTTCTTCCCAACTGACACTCAACATTCAATGGGTGCTGGGCATTCAGCCCTCTTAGGACTGGGGTTTTTTGGGGGGGGGGGTGGAGAACAGTGTTAGAAACTGAGATATGAAAGCTAGGAGCTAAATGGCACCTTCAACCTAGGTTATGGGGGCAACAACAGAATGCCTAGTATGCTTTTTTTAAAAAAAAAAAAAACATGAATACAAAGCTGGAAATGAAAGAATGGGAGCTAAAGTATTGTGTTCATTTTTCACATGGTCTAGCCCTTCCCCTGCCCACCCCTGTAATATTCTTAAGAGGGTCTCTTCTCCAGTCTTCAGACAGTAGCTGGAAGTGGGGAGGCAGAAAAGGTCCCCCTTTCCTTCCACTCTGCAGTTTTAATCTGAAATCTTAGGTGCAGTACTGCGCCCAGAGCTCAGAAACTGCTCATGCTAATAAAACTGCCTGTCGCAAAATGCGCATAGAACAAGGGGAGTTTCAAACACTGGGGAAGAAGTGGTAGGCTCCTTAGGGTTTACTAAGAACAACTTCTGCTGCTGCTGCTGCTGCTGCTGCTGTAAACCTTAAAGTTTCCCTGATCACACCAACACCTACCTTTTGTTTCATAGATTCATAGAATTGTAAAGTTGGAAGGGACCCGAGGGTTACATCATCCAACCCCATGCAATGAGGGTTCCCTCACCCAATTTGAAACTGTACCGGACTCTGTTTAGCTTTGCAAAGGTGCTAGCAGTTTTATTGCTGCACCACTAGGAGGCCCAATTTGATTCCATTTCTGCCAGGACTCTGTCCCTTGACTGCATGTTTGTACGACATAGAGGACAGAACATGAAACGCTTTGCAAAAGGCAATACTTAAAAGTCAAAAGAACACTGCATTTAATTTATAGTACAAAGGAAGCTGGTGCATGACAGGAAATGTATAACACAAGAACTGTGGGAAACATTCATGGATCTATACTTGTGAAAATATATTAATCAAGCCCTCACCCAACCCCAACCCCCTTCTGCCATTAAACCCGGTCTTCCAATAAAACCACATCCCCCATTTTACAGAACAAAAACATAAAAGCCATCTATCTGGAGATACATTACGAGGAGGGGGGCAGGATAATAACTCTGTTTAAGAAAATGTCTCTAGGCATACAGATGAAAGCACTTCAGCCTTGCAAAAGTATTACAAACACAACTAGTGGCAGGGGGGGGGAATCTGACTTGGAAGACAATAATATTTGCATCATGCATTCAACCACAGACAAAATCACGAAGGGCAAGGAAGTAAATCAACTATTTCAGTAATTTATACCTTACCCCAGTATGAGCCAACTTTGTAACAAGACACCAAGGTCTGTCGATACGTATTTTGCTCTTCCTTTTCAGAGGCACTATGCCCAGGTTTGACTCTGTATCCATTTTTGAATAAATCTCCATGAGACTTCTTACGACGCCGGGTAGTTTTGTATGTTTCCGTCCGTGTACCCCCTGTGGGGTTGTGATAGACCAAAATCTTGCTGGGAATCATCGCAGCAGAGCTTCAGGATTAAGGGAGGGGAAATCAAAATTTACCCGAAAAGGTGTTTCCTCCAAGGTGTGGGCAAAATTTGCGGAGTGTAAAGTCTCTTCTCCCCCCGCCTCCCCACTACACACTAAAAAGTAAGGAGCATAAAGGAAGAGAGGTTGCTGAGAATCAGCCACTCATGCTGCAATATTTTAAGCTGTGAAATAATTAGGAAGACTGCGTATTCTGTATTTGATATTGTTACCAAAAATAATTTTAAAATGGCATAACCAAAGAAAGGAGGGGGGAGGTAGTGACTGGAAGAGGGAGAAATAGAACAAATTTCTATCCCAAATTGTGTTCTCTAAAACGCAGAGAACATCACGCAAGCAGGGACCAAACTGCTATGGCAGAGAGACTTGCTGTGCAGATGCTCCTCTTGTTTGTGTGCTACCCCAGGGCTTAAAAGGCATCTCCTATCCGGATATTGCCATATAAGCTTCTTTCGTTTCCCCTCCAACCTGCGTGCTCCCCAGGAGGAGAAAACAGAACAGATTACAGTTCCTGCAAAAAGGAGACGCTTTGATCCACAAATCCACAGGCCCACCCACAATGCCATAAAATGTATTTGGTTGTCACGGAAATTGTCCGTTTGACAGCATTACACGCCCTATCTCAGGTTAAAGCCTGCACACTGCAGAGAGGTCATGTAATCAGCCAACTCTTACAGGATTTAGTCCTTATGAATTGGGGAGAGATGTGTGTGTGTTGTGTGTGTGTTGTGGGGGGGAAACCTTCAACTAATCCTCAGTTAACGACAACTGGAATACCAAATATTTTAAGCTATAACAAGGAGTGGCTAGAAATAAACAGTATTCAATTAAGTTTTGATAGATGGTATTTGCAAATCTCTTGTTTCCACCTAAGGCCTTACCCAACCCATTCAGGTTAAGAAAATGATAGTGAAAATTTATTTTTTTTTAATGAATGCTTGTTTTGCACAAAAGAAAAGAACCAAGGCTCCCCACAGCTGTCAGATGCTATGGCTTATGCAATCCATTATGAATTCAAACACAGTGGGGGGTTTTGCGTCTTAATCTCCACTTTCACATAAAAGCTGTCATCCCAACCCCCAAAAGCTGGGCTAATTCAGAGGATAGCTTATCCTTACATCTGTTTCCGTTAGCAAAAGCAAAAGAGGTCTATCAGTGGCTATTTAACATTCTAGCTAAACGAAACATGCTTGTTCAGAGACAGCTCGGGCATCCTGTCTCCCCCATGTCTGCGGGAGAGCAAGTGCATGTCTGTTATCCATGCCCCCTCCATTGCATATCTCTTGCCCAGCCCCGCTGACCTCCATACACTACACTACGAACATCAGCAGCTGGGAGCCTTCTGTACTCCTGAAGCTCCCCCCACCCCCCGATCAGGGCTCTAAGGCTCCCCACCACTAATATTCACCGTTTAGCACATGAAGGGCGGTGAAGCCCGGCACAGGATATGCTGGGTGGAGACAACCAACACCCGCTTCTTTCTTTAATGCAGTTCCAATTGCAGGAATTGCCAACATGGTGCCTTTCAGTTGTTGGATTGCAACTCTCAGCATCCCTGACCACTGGTTCTTTTGACTGGGGATGATGGGAGTTGGAGTCCAATGTCATCTGGAAGGCTGCCCCTGCTAGGAAGTAAAGGAAAACAAGATGTTCCTTCTCAGCAAGCTAACCTTGCAACAGAGGTGGGTCCTTTTAAAAAACAAAAAACCACCCACCCGCTATTACAACTTTCTGGAAAGCACATTTGCTTCACAGAAAGTCGTACGTCAGCATGACTTTTCTATTTTTAGCTGGCTGCTGCCAGCAACATAGCCCTAAACCAGGACCAGGCTGGACAGGACAGAATGTCAAGAAGGAAAGTAAAGGAACACAAAGGTCAGGGGCAAAGCCTGGATTATGCTACAAGGCACAATTCGGATGAAGATGACCAGAGGCATCTCCTGTAAATCACAGAGAACTAGTCACAAGGAGAGGGTGGGTGGGTGGGTGGTGGATGGATGGATGGATGGATGGATATACAAATTAGAGCCATGTGGTTGGGTTGGGTCGGTTCGATTTATACCTTGGGAAACTGGGCTCTAATCAAAATGGAGTTCCAAACCTACTTCTACAACAGACTCAGATGTTTGGCCTAAGGCATTCCTCTTCAGTTAGTGGGCCATTGCCCATGAGAGAGCCATACCTCCAAGCTTCTGGTGAATCACACTACTAGTGCCACTATCATCTTTTCCCTTTTTGTTAGGGATGTGTGTGTGTGAGAGAGAGAGAGAGAGAGAGAGAGAGAGAGAGAGAGAGGAGAAAAAGAGAGAAATAGATAAAGCAACCCACAATAACCTTGGATCTGAAGAGGTAAAATACTATTGGTCTAAGCAATGAAGTGGGGCAGTAAATGTTATGTGTAACGTTTTCCATTTCACAAAGGTTATTAGTAACATTTAACAGATGCCAGATATAAATACAGTATTTCGCAAGCTGGGCAGTTTTCAGTATTATTTACTGAATTCATGTAAAGCAAACATGCTATTATTTCAGATCACCCTCTAGGGCAACCTTTCTCATCCCTGGGTCGCCAGAGGTTTTTTGAACTACAACTCCCATCATCCCTGACTACTGGGCCTCCTAGTTAGGGGTGATGGGAGTTGTAGTCCAACAACAGCTGAGGAGCAAATGTTCCAGGGCATTTAAAAAAAATAATCAAGTGTGAATTGGACATTTTCAAATTCAAATAATCCATGCAATCTGCATAGCCATTTTCTAATTTAACGTGTCCCCCCCCAAAAAAAAACTCCAGCAACCCTCCCCTCATCACTAAGGGTTCATGATTGCTCTCCCACATCTTAAAACTGCCCAAACTGTTTCATATTTATTCTGAAGTTCATTCACACTGAGTTCAATGGAATTCATCACAAGTACACATGCACACAATTGGAAACTGAATTCAACAACATAATGATTATGTCTTGTCCTTCCAAACTTTCAGGACACATACACAGTAAAATTTATATCTTTTCTGAACAGGACTGGATGCCTGCCTCTGACCATTGGTTGCAGGGATTATTCATTAGAATCAAGCACTACTTTTCAAGAAGTTCCTTCCTCTTATGTAAAACTGAACAGGTGGCTTCTTCTTCTTTTCAAATCAACTTAATAATTGCCTAAATTATTTCTTGGAAGCAGCATTTGGCATAGCAATACTCAGTTCAACTTTAGAAACATTTGCAGCAGCGTACACAAATCAAATACCGGTAAATCTTTTTTGTACTTTATCAAAATTTCCTATGAAAAGGAACATTCATGATGGTTGAACAACTGTTTAAATTCCTGCTTTCTCATGGCTCCAAATATGTGTCTTTCGTACTTGGGCAAAACTGTGTTCCTGGAGAACTGGTCATTCTCCTACCTATATGAAATGACCAATTTCCATAAAGCAGAGTTCTGTCCGGGCTCAGAAAAGGAGAGTGACAAGCAATATGCTTGGTGGTTGCAGGAATTTGCGTGCGCACACACACACACACACACACACACACACACAATTTTATTTTAACAAACAAAACTGGCACTGCGAAGTAGTTCTGCCCTCTAAGGTCATTGATGCCCCCTGCCCCAAAGCCTTTCCATACGCACAACTGAGAAAATATTCCTTCTGTGTCTGCATATTGTATGATCTCCAAGCTACAAATGTCTTTTTTGGTAAATACCACCCTCTTAAAGGATTTTCTGGAGTGTGAATTTGTGGCACCATTTTTGTGTCCTGAAGGACACACTACCCAGATTGCAATATGGATGTGAAGGGAAAACTGAAGGGAGGTGGAAGTCGGTTGGTTACTGTTGTAGTGAAGCAGCTGAAGAAAGAGGAAAGCAGTGACAGGGCATTAAGAAAAAGCAGAGGGGCAAATGAAAACCAACTTTTTTTTTTTTATTAACAGAGAGTCTGTCTGCTAACACCCTGCTAGTACTGAAGACCATTGACAGGGTGGTAGGAATGGGAGTCCCTCCAGTTTCTGACGAGTGGAAAAAAAATGAGACTTGTTCTGATCCACAAACCTATGTGTTTTTTCTTTGGAAGCCCTCATCAACCCTGTTCCTAAGCATTCCCCTGAAAACACCTACCTTGATAGCACCACAGGCTTGAGCCTGGAGCCAAGTCAAATAATGACCACTCCCCACATCAAATGGGGGGTGCCTTTTGTGTGGTCGAGTGCAGTCCCCCGGACCCTATGCGGCTCCTGGCAGTACAGCCTGGCTTCGCCCTCCCCAGGCTGGATACCTGGAGGTCTCTGCCTACCTCAACCAATTGCCCAATCCCACCTGGGGAGGTGTTGCCAGGGGATCAGGCCAGGTAAGGGGAGGGACCACCCTGCCCACACAGTAGAGGGTGGATCTTACCTGGGAATTGTCAGTTGGCTCCAGAGCTTCTCCCACCCTGCCCTCCCTCAGTTAAGCCTTCTTTTGCAGGTTAACCTCTTCTCCACAAGTATGCGGGTACTGCTACGTCAGGGTCGCCATTGAAGGGCCGGAAAGGAATTTTCCTGCATTGGCAGGTTTTGCCTTCCTCGTAGCAAAACTCACAACTTTGATGGTTTCAGGACTTGGGCAGAATCCACAGTCTATCTTCCCTAAATGGGGGGGGGGGCATGAAGCGGCAGCAATCCCAGGGTTCCCCGTTAAAGGGGTTTTGAGGGGAGGCATTGGCCATATGCTGAGAGGTTGTCATTGCTCTCCCCTGCGACGGCGGCGAAACGGGGGGCGGGCTCTCTGCTTGAACATATGTTCTCCAGAGCCAGCCCAATCTCCACACATTCTGGATAACCCTGATATCCCCCAGATCCCCGGCTGGGGACTGGGAAGGATAAACGCCCAATGCCTAAGCCAAGGTCTCCCCACATCTGAATCTTAATAAAGTTGTGGCCAATTTTAATCACATAGCACGTTGTCTTGAGTCATTCCACTCGGGAGTTGCCTGGGGTTGGGGGGACTCCGCCTGTCCATGTAAATAGGGGCTGCATGCAAAATATGCAAGGGAGCAGGAACAAATGAAGAAAGGTCCTGGTGCTTAATTTCTCAGACCTCCCCACTTTTGCTGTAGAAAATTAACGCAGGGTATCCAGAGGCCCATCCCCAGGATGAGCAGGAGATGACAGTGTGCAGCCGTCAGAGAGAATTGTTTGGAGGCAAGAAGCAGCAAGGGGTGGAAATGGGGCCAGTTATTTAGCTCCTACTTCCTCAATAGCATCATGCGAGATGACTCAAAGGTTCGCTAGCTGTCACTCTTAATCATTTTAGATTAGAGCCTGCTAAGTTAACTATTCGGTGTCAAAAGCATTTAAGGGCCAAACTAGACACGATGGGGGCAACTACATGAATTCATCCATGTGTCTTTTTTTTTTTAATAAAAAGGAGCAGTGTGGGTGAGGGAACCTGAGCCCCCGTCCCTATCTATGTGCACTCAGTTGCTTCAACAGTTTTCACTGCCTAGTCCAGCTTTCTTGCAGTAGCGGTGATAAGCTGGGGAAGAAGTACGGTACTTTAAAAAGCAACAGAGCACAGCAAGGTAAGACAGAATGGAGAGGAAAGTTTGGCTTCTCTCACCTGTATGGTCCTATCTTCTCCTTACTACTCTCTTGCCTTGCATATATTTGTGTTGTTTGACTTGTTTTGGATTTTGGAAACTGCCTCGAAATATCTGATGAATGGTGGTATAGAAATGTTTGAAATGTACGCATACATACACGGGTTGCTCCTGTGTTTTTCAAACTTGGGTTCCCCAGCTGTTGTTGGACTACAACTCCCATCACCCCTAGCTAGCAGGACCAGTGGTCAGGATTGCCCTCTCATGTCTAGTTAGCTCTGAGGGCTGGCCTCAGGCAGATGCTTGTATTCAGCAACTCTCTGCAAAACTCCTTGTGACCTCAGAGATTCAGCTGCAGGCGCTGAAGTGTCACAGTTTTTCTGGCTGCCATTGGCTTAGCTCTGTTGACATCACAATCTTTGCTGGTCTGATGTCACAAACGGGGCATGTCACGTGCCATCTCAGGTCAGACTACTGACTGCTTACTCACATTTGAACACATAGTGTACGGTGCTCTGTTACTGATACAAGAGAGAGACTAATTACTACCCAGCTTTTCTTACTGCTGGTGCATAAGTGGGCAAGAGCACAAGGTGATAGAGGGACAAATCTCAGGAGAATGGGAATAGAGGTGAACACCAATGGGGAAAACAGGCGTGATGGGAAAGGTAAGCAAACAAAGAGGCTAGAAAATATGGATGTGGGTAGCAGAAGTATTCTGAAGGTGTCCAGATAACCAAACAGACAAGGTCAAAATGTGGCCTTTGCCCTAAGGCACAGGGCTGATCCAGGGGTCAGATCCTTAGGAGGGAACTAATGGTTTGCTTGAGTGGATGGAATTGTGCTTGAATCTGGGAAACATCAATGGTCACAGTGTCCTTGCGGATCCTCCCACTGTAAGACCCAACATAGAACATCTGCCCAACCCAGATGTACCACAACTCCCACCTGGACCAGCCAACATGGGCAATGGTCAGGGTCCAACAATATTTGGAAGGCACTACATTGAGGAAGACACCAATTTGCAGACAATCAAGATTAGCTACAAAAAGTATAGGGCAGTGCATTTCTCTGACAAGCTACACTTTCCCTTTTGATTATTATAATGCCACCTCTTGTCTCCGTGAAAAGGGTCTGCTTTTGTGCCATATGTGACAGTTTGAAAAGGACATTTCATTCTCATTCATCTCTGTCCCTTTCTCTCCATTATAGCTTTTTTAAATCACCTAAAGGATTCAAGTGGTTGTTCAGCTGTTTGGTGACAACAAAAATCCGCTGTCTGCACTTTCATGGATTATAGCATTGCATAATCTTTTTCTCTTTTTTTCAAAAGAGAGAGAGAGTTTGCCTAACTGCTCTCTAATCTTTCTTTGTATTTATTCCCACTAATACTCTCTCTTGGGGTAAAATTATGAAATAGTATTCAGAAAGAACATTCCATTGCTCCTCTTTCTGAAGGGTGCTTTCTGTATGGAGCACAAATGCCAAAAGCAAGCATAGTCTTAAGAACAGCAGAACAGAAATGAAACATATGCAGAGGTTCTCACATAAACGTTTAAATTTTATTTTATTTGATTGATTGATTAATTGATTGATTGAATTTATATACCACCCTATACCCAGAGATCTTGTCTTAAAGATCTAAGTATTTTGAAACTACTACTGCAGAAACATGAACAGGGGACCTGAATGCATGACTATTTGATTCCTCTCAGTCTACCCAGATCTTCCTAGATAGATTGTGGAGTGAAATGCACAGGGCAAGGAGTCAACCAGAATGCAGATCATGATCTACACTCTAAATCTAAATCTTTTGGAGATTTACCATAGATTGTCAAGGATTTCTGACACCCAATTGTTTAACAATTGCAATAACAAACCAACACCTGCTATCTAAATTAAGCTCATGAAGTGAAGGAACCTAATCAGGAGTAGTCTTTTGTGTGTGATTTAGCTGAGATTCCTGCATTGCAGGGGGTGGGACTAGATGACCCTCAGGGTCCCTTCCAGCTCTACAATAATATGATTCTATGAATCAGAGCAGCCTGGCACAGTGCTATTGCAGCATCTAATTCCCCTTGCTAATGTCCCTCACCCACAGAAATTGTTTGCTTAGGTTCCAGTGAACTGGATCTGTGACCTTTGATATGTGCATTCTCAAAATAAACTGGGAGGAGGGGTAATTCATAAAATTCACCCTCTATTAGTTCAGTTTAGATTTTTTAAAACATTGACAGGGGAGGGGAAAGAAGAGCAACTCCTATGCTTTCAAAGTGTTGGTGCTGACCTTTAAAGCCCTAAATGGTCTTGACCCAGTATACTTGAAGGAGCGTCTCCACCCCCATCATTGTGCCCAGACACCGAGGTCCCGCTCTGAGAGCCTTCTGGCGGTTCCCTCACTACGAGAAGTGAAGCTACAGGGAACCAGGCAGAGGGCCTTCTCGGTAGTGGCCCCTGCCCTGTGGAACGCCCTCCCAACAGATGTCAAGGAAATAAACAACTATCTGACTTTTAGAAGACACCAGAAGGCAGCCCTGTATAGGGAGGTTTTTAATGTTTTATCTTTTACCGCAGCATTATTATTATTATTATTATTATTATTATTATTATTATTATTTTCTGTTGAGAGCCGCCCAGAGATGTTGGGGAAACCCAACCAGATGGGTGGAGTATAAATAAAAATTAATTTATTATTATTATTATTATTATTATTATTACTCAGACCTGACCTGTTTCAGGATTACCCTTCCACTGGGACAAAATAATACATTTTCAGGTGAAATAAATATAAAACAAAATACCATATTAACTTATTACAAAGATTTTTTACAGAAACGTATGTCAGAACAAAAACTGTATCTAACAAGCCAAATTAAAAACAGAGCAAACATCTATACAACAATCCCTGAAACTAATGATAGGAGGTGATCTTAAAAACTCTTTAAAATAATATCTAGATTGTAGATGGTCATGATATAGCCACATAGCTATACAATGGAACCTTGGAAGCGGAACACCTTTGAACTCGAACGTTTTGGCTCCCGAACGATAGAAAACCGGAAGTGATTGTTCCGATTTCCAAATGATTTTTGGAAGCTGAACATCCGGCACAGCTTCCACAGCTTCTGATTGGCTGCAGGACACTCCTGCAGCCAATCGGAAGCCATGTTTTCGAACTGTTCCGGGAGTTTAACGGTCTCCCAGAACGGATTAAATTTGAAAACCAAGGTATGACTGTATATGAAAGAATGCACAAAGATGAGAAAATAATCATCTAGCAGCTTCTGTCAAGTGCATAAACCACCATAGTAACACTTACACTGGGGAAGAATTTTTTTGTTGCATTGAACACCTGCAGTTGTTCTAACCTAATTTCGATGTGCTGATTTCATATCTGAAGTTGGTTTTGTTCTGTAAGCTCTAGTTTTTTTGCAATTCATGTTTTTCACTTTTCACCATAATCTTTGTTTTTCACAATGCAAGAATTCAATATTTAATTAAACATATAGCCAAAGTAGTGCAATATGAGTATAAATGTACGTGACTTATAAAGCACTGAACATAACATGTATAGCATTGAAAATGACATGTATATCTATGTACAGTTAGAGGTATGCAAAAAAATGTATATTCCCTTAGGATACACAGTATACTGGGGAACAATTTTTTTCCCATTTTCTTTTGCATGAGATTTTTCAACTGTTCTTATATGTTCTTTCAATGCTGGTTTCAAATCTGAAATCGATTTTTGTGTACATGCTATAGTTATCTTTCAATTTCCAGCTTTTGCCGATATGTCATATTTACACTGGGGATAAGTGGACACTGACACGTTGATCTACCCTAACCACATGGTAATTATTGTTTTGCAAACTTAATTTTTCTTTATTCTTACAGTTTTGTAACCTAAATATTTATATTTTTCAGATCGGACCAAGGCTTCTTCAAGCAGACAAAAATGTGTAAACAAGCCTGATGCCTTTTGTTATATATGTGGCTGCTACGGACTTCCTCGTCAAAGACACAATATGGGGGGGGGGGAGAGAAGTGGGGGGGGGGAAGCATGCCCATGGTTTGCTGGAGCAAGAGTGTGATGATGCCAGAATAGGCACAGCATGTTGACCTAAGCTGTGTGTGCTGAGTTTCAGTTTTCTGGGTCATATGGAAAGATCTGAACCACTTTGGAGGCTGACTTTGAGTATCCTGCTTTGAAGAAGAGGTACAACAATGTTTCATTCTCAGATTTATCCAGTAAGCAGGATGTCCTGAGCTACATGTAGCCACATGTCATTGTTCTAGCTCATTATGAAGTATCCTAACTGTTTCAATATCCCAGGCCAGCTGGCCTAAGTGTTTTGGAGTTTAGTGTTAGTCCAGAGTCCTTCTATTCTAGGTCCCTAAGTGACACATGAATGCATTTGCTCTGAACACATACTTCACTTAATTTTACTGAAGGCTATAAGCCTTATAACCCTTGAAGCTGTCCCAGAAACTCCAGCGGGTGCAGAATGCTGCAGCGAGGCTCCTCACAGGGTCTCTGCCATGGTAGCATATTCACCCAGTGCTTTTCCAGCTGTACTGGCTCCCGGTGGAGTACAGGGTCAGATTTAAGTGCTGCTTTTGACCTTTAAAGTCCTTCACGGCCTAGGACCCTCATACCTACGGGACTGCCTCTCCTGGTATGCCCCACGGAGGTCCTTAAGGTCCATATATAGCAACACCCTAGAGGTCCCGGGCCCTAAGGAAGTTAGATTAGCTTCAACCAGAGCCAGGGCCTTCTCAACACTGGCTCCGGCCTGGTGGAACGCTCTGTCTCATGAGACCAGGGCCCTGCGGGATCTGATTTCTTTCTGCAGGGCCTGTAAGACAGAGTTGTTCCACCTGGCCTTTGGCTTAGAATCAGTTTGATTCCCTCCCCCTCTTTCTTTTTCCTTTCTCCTCCTATGAAGAGACTGCATCCTAATGTTTTAATGTTGTATCTTAATCTTTTAAATTGTATTTTAATCAACTTGTTTTTATTATTGGTTGTTAGCCGCCCTGAGCCCGGTCTTGGCTGGGGAGGGCGGGGTATAAATAATTTATTATTATTATTATTATTATTATTATTCATGGCAAAATTCCTTCATGTTTAAAGAGTAAAAAATTTAAGTAGATCTAACATAAGGGAACATGAAATAAAGCATATCAGTTGTTTGTTTTTAAACCCAGACAGCAGCTTGCTACTCATAATGGTATAAGATATAAAGTTCCCTAAAATGTTGTTAGGAGACTAGCTCTGCCCCAGCTCCTGCCAACCTAGCAGTTCAAAAGCATGCCAGTGCAGTAGATAAATAGGTACCGCTGTGGCGGGAAGGTAAACAGCATTTCTGTGCACTCTGGTTACCGTCCTGTTGTGCTAGAAGTAGTTTAGTCATGCTGGCCACATGACCTGGAAAGCTGTCTGTGGACAAACACTGGTTCCCTCAGACTGAAAGCAAGATGAGCACCACAACCCCATAGTCGCCTTTGACTGGACTTAACTGTCCAGGGGTCCTTTACCTTTACCTTTTTTATTACAACATGGGCTCCCTCATTATGGGCAGTGGTGGTCTCTCAGGACATTGTGGCGTCCTGAGAGACGGCAAAATTTGATTACCACCCCCCATGGGTGTAGCCAGGATTTTTGTTGGGGGGGCAGTCTTTTGTTAGGGGGGGCAGAACCTCAGATTTGTATTGGGTTTTTATTAAGGGGGCAGCTGGCCCCCAGCCATGCCCATGCCCCCCCACTCCAGATTTGCTTGGGGTTTACTCATTTGCCTTTTCCTCAAGGCAGTGGGCATATACCCACTGCCTTGAGGAAAAGGCAAATGAGTAAACCCCAAGCAAATCTGGAGTGGAGTCCCTGAAACGGTTGAGTGGTGCCTAGTATGCCTCCTTCCGGCAACGGCTGCAGCCAAGCTGGTGTCAAATGTATTGTTTTGCTTTCATTTTGACCACATCAGTGCAGCCTAGAGGAGGATGGGTCTTGTCACTTGGGCAGCCCAGGGCCTCCATACATGCTGTTCTGGCTTGTGCCTTAGAGAGGACACAACACAGGAGGCATCAGTTACAAGTTACCCGTGTCTGCAGCCGCATAAGGCACTGTGATTCTCCAGCGGTTTGACTTCATATCCAGAGGCACACTCCATTGTCTCTCAAGACAGATGGATGCCAACAACAACCTATTTTTATTATTATTATTTGTTTGTTGTTGTTGTTGTTGTTGTTGTTGTTGTTGTTGTTTTGCGCCCCTTGGCTCGGTGCCCTGTGTGGGGAAACTGCTCACACTGCCCTAGATCTGGCACTACCTATGGGTATGATTTCCCCTTTACTTAGATGGTTGGCTTTAACCAGAGTTCAGCTTGATAGGTGTGCATTGACATTAACCGTGTTGTCCCAATATTGGTTCTTAAGCAGGCTTTGCAAAGCTGCTTCAGAAATTGCACTCACAAACTCTGGGGGGTTACAAGGACAATATTGGATAGCACCACTGCAAAGTTAACCGTGTCCCTTCTCTAAAGCATGCGCCCACACAGGGGTGGCCTGTCTCATTTCACCACCTGAGGCAAAATGGGAAGGTGCCACTTCTCCCTGCCCAAGCCTCACTTACCAGGGTTATGCAGCAGGGTCTTCTGGTGAGATCTGGCGAGAGTTCAGTGAGATCTCACAAGATCTTGTGGAAGCAGCAGCCACGCTGTGTGGCCCTGGCGGTGGCAGCAGTAGCAGGTAGGGTGCCCACGGAGGCACCACCCCATTGGATTCTGCCTCCCGACGTGGGAAGCTGGTCCTGAGTCCAGCAAACATTCTTCATTTCCTACCTAACTTTAAGAGACTGGGAATATGTTTGCTTTAGACCCCTGAGCTACAGGATGTGCATAGACAGGAGGCCTGGGCAGAGAATTGTGCAGGATTTTATCTTTTTCCACCGGGATTTGAGAATACAGCATAACAAAAGAAATAGAAACCTGTCAGCTGAAATCTGTTTTGTAGGTCACAGGCTTTTTCAGGCCCTTTATAAGCCTACAATGAACCTCGTACACTGAAGATGCTTTCTCATAATACTTGCTAGTATTATTCCCTTTGTCTCAAGCAATTAGCTGTGTCAGTGCAACTACTCCATGCTTTACACAACTTAATAAAACTTAATAAAAGCGGTTTGCTGCTGGTGGCAAAGTCATGCCTCAGCATGACCACTGGATGGCAGAAGCACACAATTCTTTAAGCCACATAAAGATTGAAAGGAAAGAGCAAGTTTTGTGGCCACTTCTAACATCTGCAGCTATGGAATCAGCAAAACAGAATTAGACCGATCCTCAAGCTAGTGAATACAACATTAATGTTATGAAGCTCATAATTATTATTGTATGTCAGTGTTACTACTACAAAACTAGATGCTACAAAAAAAAAAAGCTGCTAAAAATTCTGTGCTCAGTGAATAAAATTATCTCCCCCGCCCCTCAACATTGTTCTCTCTTTAACAGCAACCTAACAGAGAAATTTTCTGGGACGCGGATGGCACTGTGTTCTAAACCACAGAGCCTAGGGCTTGCCGATCAGAAGGTCAGCGGTTTGAATCCCTGTGACGGGGTGAGCTCCTGTTGCTCGGTCCCTGCTGCTGCCAACCGAGCAGTTCGAAAGCACGTCAAAGTACAAGTAGATAAATAGGTACCGCTCCGGCGGGAAGGTAAATGGCATTTCTGTGTGCTGCTCTGGTTCACCAGAAGTGGCTTAGTCATGCTGGCCACATGACCTGGAAGCTGTACGCTGGCTCCCTCGGCCAGTAAAGCAAGATGAGTGCCGCAACCCCAGAGTCGTCCGCGACTGGACCTAACGGTCAGGGGTCCCTTTACCTTTACTAACAGAGAAATTTAGCAGGTGAAACAGATATATAAAGTGATGGGGATGGGGTGGGGGGAAGAGATTCACCTACTAAAGTTCAAGATACAGAGCCAGTTTGACCATGGGGCACACTATGTGTCTGCCTAGGGAAGCTAAATTTTTAGTGCAGCCACATCTGAAGGGCAATAAAATTCAAAAGGCATCAAACAATGGTGCTGGTGGTGCAAGGAGGAGTCAGCAACGGCCAGTTCCAGCAGTCTGCATTTTCCAGAATGCAGAGTCAATGACACCATTCTATCCCAATGGAACAAAACCTCCTAAATGGGTCTTTCTTAGAGACACAGTGGCGCCTGCTTCAGAGCTCCCCTGAGAGCCAAAGAGGCCTGCCGCAGTGGTGGTGATGGAGCTGGTGTGGAACCGGTTACCATTTTCCAACATGCTGCCATACCAAGATATTGTTGGGGCACAGCAGGGAGGCAATGGTTTTGATGGAAGTTGTACTCTGAAATCTCTTGAAGGCAAGCTTCTTGGAAGTACCTGAGAAATTCCTCTGATAACAGCAACAAACCTCCAAGTATCAACATGAAGAATCATAATGGGCAGCAAACTGATTTCCTAATCAGTTTCCCCCCCTCTCCTTTCTTGCAGAGGAAGCCTATTCCCTTTTCCAGATGAAGAAAGGATGCTTAGGTTTGTCCCTCACAAGGGCACTCAGTGGAGAAGGTTTCGGCTGCATGGAGCCTGATCCTGCCTTTTTCTTGCTTGTGTGAAGCATGGACAGCTCACTAGACTGGTTGTCTTGCAAAACCTCTGGAACTCAGTGAGACTTGCTTATATGTGCTTAGGCAGGTGCAGCCAGTGATCACGGTCTGGTTAGTCTAGCAGACCTTTTGAGGGGCAGAGGAGACAGCTGTGAGCCACCCCTGCAGGAGAGGAGGCCATCCCTCATACAGGCTCTCTGTTTACACCAGGGCCAGCTACAGCTTCTCTCCCTTTGCTTCGGTGTTGGGAATATTGCGCAACACCCCCCCCCCTCAAGTTGCCACCAGTCTGCCTCGGTTTGTGTTTTTTTGGAGGGAGGGGGCAGACTCAGTACCTTTCTCTCAGTGCCAATTACAAGTCATCAAGAACGCAGTACCAGTAGCCAGCATCTTGCAAACCCACACACAATTAAGAAAAACGCTGTTTACTTACCCAGCCAACTTCTGTTTAAATACACTGAAACGAACACTGGAGGGACTGTGAAGAAATCTACCACCGAGTTTACTTCCAGCCAGAACCATAGCTTGTCGTTGGCTGCTATGAACTGGGGAGGGAAATGAAGAGGATAAGGATACTGGTTGTTGTGGGGTGGTGGGGTGGGGGGTGGGGATTCCTTATGAAAGATACAACAGATTTTCTGTTTGTCCCTTGGAAAAAATTAAGGCATCGTTTCGTGACCTCTAATTAAAATACACCTGCTTATTCGTTTTAATTCATTAATTAATTGACTAATTCATTTAAAAAACGTTTTAAACCTGTTTTTTAAGGGTGCACTCTTCCCACCCAAAGAACCCTTTGTAAAATACATTTTCATGTAAAATATATGAAGATACAATTGCAAACACGCACACAAAAAACCCCAGCAGCGAAAGGTCACCCCCCTCCCCAAACTATGTAAACCACTTGGGAGATTTCAACAATAAATCAGAATACGGATTTTACAAAGAAATGTGTCTTGAATAAATGAGTTTTTATTTAACAGCTAGCAGTGATGAGACAACACTTATCTCTCTGGAGATGGGGTTCCAAAGGTGTGGGGGGGCCATGACTGAGCAGGCCCTGTCCCTTGTCACCTAACAACTTTTCCTGGTGGGCTAGTGATGCTTGAGATCACTTCAACCTTGTGTACATGGTCCTACAAGCAAATCTATTTCAGCATTTAAAAAAAAACAAGGCAAAGGGACCACTGAAAACCTTCTCTATGGACAGTCTGCAAGTGTTGGAGTTTGTAGGAGCTGATATGAGGGGATAAAAGACTGAGAAGCTTCTAGAGCATTATTTGTGCCACAGAGTTAAAGCAGTTAAATAATAATTTCCTCTAAGGGAGCAGTGGTTAACGTGAAGAAGGAGAATATTAAAGATCTCTTAATATTCCCAGGGCCAGCTCCACCCCTCAAACTACAATTCCCAATACAGTATAAATTCTTTCTAGGAGTTTTTCAGGTGGGGGGGGGGGGAAGGCCACAGCAGCTGAAAAGGGTGGTCCATACATTGGCAACCTCACCATTAGACTAATATAATGTGCAGAAACTGCAAATGAGCATAAAATTAAGTTCACCCAGCTTTACACATCTTGCATCACAAGCGTTGAAAGGTCTGCACTGGAGGCCTAATAGCTAATGAGTCAAGTTGAAGGCTTTGTGACTGACGTTTAAAGCCCTAAGCAATCTAGGAACAGGAAATCTAGCAGTCCGCCTTCCCCTACACAGACCAAGCCAATCTTTCCACCTTTGTTGGTGGTTCTCTGGTTTGGTGACAATGTGGCAGTGGACTGTCCCAGTGATAAGTTCATCCTCTGGAATGTTCTTTCTCAGATAACGTTTGAGACAAAGACATTAGCAACCTTTCAACACCTCCTAAAATGTTTACCCAAGCTTTCCTGGAGGCCTGACTCCTGATTTCTTTTGTTCTCCACACTGCTCAGATTTATTTGGGATATAATCTTTTTATCTCATTTTTAATCTATTTCCCCCCAGGAAATTTTATTGAATGTTGTTTTGTTTCTGTTTTCATACTGTAAACCACTGAATTCATCATCATCATTATTATTATTATTATTATTATTATTATTATTATTATTAAGCAGGGTAAAAAGATTATAAAACAAACAAACAAACAGATATATAGAATTGTAGTAAATCAGGGTTGCCTCAGGCATCCAGCAGTACAAAGGTAAAGGAAGGACCAGAAGGCAGAACTGCCACAGACTAGTCTGACTGGGGTTTAGGGAAGGATAAAGGCTATACTGAGGTAACAGGATCTGCTTCTGGGGCCCCATGCAACTGTATGATCTGTTGTCTGTGGCAAGGGGCTCACCCTCACCCTGACTATTGGGTGGACTGGTCCTGTCTGGTGTCTTTAAACACCCAGCCCTCTATGCTTGGGTTGAAAGTGAAAACTGGTTTGGATTTTTGGTCCAATGCAAACAAACAAAAAATCACTCTTTGGGGGTACTACTTAAATCGCCTTCTCACATTTTACTCCAATTCAGTGCTCAGTTGAACATGGAAGCCTTTACACTCCATTGGCTTGCAATTTTTAAATGTTTAAAAGCTAACAAAATAAAATGGTTAAAATTGCATTCTTCACATGAAATAAGACTTGAGCTGAGCACCAACTCTTTACTGCTCAGGACCACGGAACCTCAGAGGCCACCTCTCTTCATATGAGCCTACCCGGATCCTGTGATCGTCAGCTGAGGCCCTTCTTCGTGTGCCTCCTTCCATGAGAGGTTTGGAGGGTGGCAACACGAAAATGGGCCTTTTCTGCAATGGCTCTCCACTTGTGGAATGTTCTACCCAGGGAGGCTCACTTTGCACCTTCATTATATACCTTTAAGCGCCAGGGACCAGGCCTTTGGCTGACTAACATCCTATATCCTTTTAAATGTGTTTGTGGGAGGGGTAGGGGGTTATTGGTTTGCTTTGTTTTTTTCTTATTTTTATTATGTATTTTGGGTTTTTGTCTTGTTTTTGTGTGTGTGTGTGAATCGCCCTGAAATCTACAGATGCAGCATGGTATAAAGATTTTAATGACAATGATAATAATAATATGCTTTGACAAATAACTGTTATAGCAAAATATTGGATTACTCCATTGCTTTCTAGGGGAAACCCAAAGGAATGGGTGGGGCAGGGTGTGTGGGTGGGGAAAATGTATCAAGAAATCAGGCAGCTCCCTATCCAGACAATGGGATTAATTAGTCTACTCTGTAGCAGGTGCCACCAACCCACAAAGGCTTTCAATGGTTCCCCTGCGGAGGTGCCCTGGACTCTGAGCTTTCATGGGGGGTGGGGAGTTTCCAGCCCACCTAGGAAGAAAGTTATGGGACAAAATGTGCAGGTACCTTCTAGACGTGAAGTGAGAGCAAGTGTGGTGTGTCCCCCTGGTATATTTTTTCCTAGTACTGAAGAATGCTCCCTGTTGCTATTAGCTGATGCTGGAAAGCACTGGCGGAGGAAGAGGAGTGCAGGGGGAGTGCACCGCCCCCAGCAGCGTGATCCCCAGGGTGCCATTGTGGCTGCTCCCCTGCAGGCAGCGCGCCCCGCCCCAGGACACGCACCCTGCCCCTGGAACGTGCGCCAGCCCCGCCCCCCTGCTCTCCGCCACTGCTGGAAAGTGGAGACACAAAGGCTTGTTTCACTTTGTTGCAGGCTTAGGGCCTCCCAGGAAACCCAATGCGGGGGATAAGAGCTCTTAGGAATGTTCAAATCAAATTTATTAAACGGTCACAGACCAGATTAACTCGTACAGCTAGTCAGCGAAGCATAACACCGGAAAAAACAAAGGACAATTTCAATACATAGCTGCAATTTAAAATTAGACAGCATAAATAAAAATTAAGTATTTGCCTTCGCCTGCGTAATGCCATTGGAAAGCTCTTGTTTCCTGCGCCTAATAGCGGCTACACAAAATTTGGCCACATTGATCGTAATTTCAGAAACCTTATCTTCTACCAAGGCTCTCATACGTTGGAGTTCTGGTTCATTTTTAAGCTTTTGTAGAACTGGGGCAATAAAGGTCAAACGTAGATCCTCATAGTAACTACAGTGCAGCAATACATGCAGACTTGTTTCCACTTCCGATGAGCCACACGGGCAAACACGTGACTCATATGGTTTGCCCTCATATCTGCCTAGCAGCAGGGCAGAGGGCAGAACGTTAAATCTGGCCAGGGTAAAGGAGTGTCTGTACTTAGGTATTTGTAAATCAGCCAAATAATTTGCGGGTGAGAACCCTCTCCCAAAGTCTCTAATTATGGCATGTTTATCCATTTTGCCCATATGACATTGCAGCTCTATGTCCCTAATGCGTTGGAGCACTTGACTTCTGGCTCTCTCATATCCTGCCGCTATCAAGATCTGCGGGGAGAATCCCAGGCTTCTTATCTTTTCAAACAGGGAGCTTTCCAGGTGGAATGAAAGGTGTCTAAGAGTGTTAAAGGAGCCAAACCGGCCGGGGAAAAAATAAGTTTTAACCAGTAGTGTATCTTTAGAATCCACAGCCGCGCATTAACGGGTGGTTGTCCAACTTCTAAGCGGACAGCTATATTAGATACACAGGGGGGGATCCCCAATAAACACCGATCTCTTAGGAATGTTAGTGCAGCGAGCCTCTCCATCCCATGCTGTGGTTGTAGATATGTGTAAACAAAACCATACTTCCCACTGTATCACCACTGTATTCATTGACATTCATTCCAAGGAAACCAAACTTTGGAACCTCAGGAGCATCTCACTGCTCTGAGATTGTGGTGTGTGCAGCAAGCACCTTTGAGAAGTTTTTAATGTTCAATGTTTTATTTTGCTTTTACATGTGTTGGAAGCCGCCCAGAGCGGCTGGGACAATGCAGCCAGATGGGAAGGGTATAAGTTATCATTCTTATAAGCGACTGATGGTGGATGGAGTAACATCTGCCACAAACACAGTGTGTGTGTGTGTGAGAGAGAGAGAGAGAGAGAGAGAGAGAGAGAGCGCACTGCTGTTGCACAGTAAATCCATAAACCTCTTTATCATGGAGCAAAGGTTTATTGAAGCAATTCTTGTTCTCAACACGGCTAGAGAAAAGTCTTCCGATTCAAGGGCAGTAGCCTATTTTATTTTATTTTTTAAAACCTTTATGGATGTGGTAAAGTGGTACCTCGGTTTTCAAACATAATGCGTTTGGAAGACCGTTCGACTTCCGAAACATTCGAAAACCAAAGCATTTACTTCCAGAAGCATTTACTTACGGAAAACTCAATATGGAAGCTGTGTGGCACATTCAAATGAAAAGCTTTTGAAAACCGAAGCAGTTACTTATGCGTTTTCGCGTTCGGAAACCGAAATGTTCGACTTCCGAGACGTTCAAAAACCGAGGTACCACTGTATTTTAATTTGACAAACTTGGCTTCCCAAATATAAACCAAAAAAACCCCACCTACCACACATGAAAACCAATTTACTCAAAAGGTACTGGCAACTATGATGGCCTTTGTACACTTTTGCGCATCCATAGCAGTATGTTGCTGCTTGACACTTTTAGGCCGCTGGCTGCTCCCCCCCCCCCCCGGTTA